CTAAAAAATGTTAAAAGTTTGGTCTCCATTTGGCTCCATTTTTTTTTGAAAATTGTCCATTAAAATGATAATTTGTTCTACTATTGGATTTAGAATTTGTTCCAATTGTAAAAAAAAAAAAAAATTAAAGAAAATTAACTAACAACGGCAAATTATAAAGTCAAATTATAGTAAGCACGCGTATTGCATGTCTTATGTATCTAATAAATGATATGCATAATGTTTTTGATGTGCTAATATTATTTTTAAAAGTATTTGATGTAATTGATATTATTAAAGGAAAAATTAAAATTGTTAAAAAGAATATATATGAATAACACTTTTTTATGAAATTATGTATATAATATGAAAGGTTGATAAAACTGAAATGTAACATTTTCATTAAAATAACATTTCTTTATACGCAATATTTTTTTTGTCAACATCCCATTACTTTTCTTATTTTTATTTTCTGTTTTTAGCCTTTTATCAAGACATTTGTTTTTTGAATTAAAACTCCACGAAAAAAAAAATGCGATATATAATTGCCCATTAGATAATACATGTTCAGGAAGGTATATTTCAACAGTATGTACTGTTTGTGCTTGAGCTTTATTAATGGTAATTGCAAGCATTGACATATTGAAAATTATTTCCTCTTAAATTTGAATGGATATCATTTATCATTCGTTGGAGTTAACGGAATGTGCGGAAAGAAAACTTATTTTTCATCATGCTGTACCACTGTTATTTCTAAATGGATAATATTCTAGTTCAGTTGTAAAGATCGTTAGATGGGTCCAAATTCTTTAAGAGCTTCATTGAACAATTTCTTCTCAAGATTAACTTATGTGGTGTGATATCATTTGACAAAAAATGTACTTAGGAACTTCTCTTAATAAAATTGATTTGCATTAGAGTCACACAAAAAATAAAAAAGGAGAAGAACTGAAAGTAACATACTTTGAGGATGAAGAACTAAAAGTATCAAATTATCAAATTTTGAATTGAATTGACAATACTTGCGGATGTCAAAAAATTACTAAATTCTATCACTTCTACAAATAACCGACATACTTAAATTCATAAAATTGAATTTTTATCCTTTTTGTTTTATTGTGAATGACAATTTCAAATACATTATAAAATTCTTACTTTAACATAACAAAATTATTATCTAATCGGTTTGAATATAAAAATGCCAAATGAAATTTAAAAAGTAAAGTATGTCCACATGCAAATATTAAAATGCAAAAATCGGTTCATAATTTATATTCATTAAATATATCCAAAATCACAAAATTAAGAACTTATAACTTATTTAATTTGTTGAAAGTGGTGACACCTTTAGTCCCTTTTTTTGATTTTCCTAAAATCCAACTAAACATATTTGATTCATTTCAATTTGATTTGATTCGATTCGATCAAGTTAGATTTTGTATCATTGGAGATATGCACATCGTTTCTAATAATCATGTGAAAGCCGAAAGGAGATGATGATGATGATGATGATGAAAAATTATAAAAATAATTAGTAAAAACTTAAAATCAAAAGCTAATTTTCTAAACATGCTTTGCACATAGTATGATACAACAAAAGAATTTTTAATTTAAACAAATTAATATGTCAAATTTAAGATTTTCAGTGTTTAAAAATGTTAATTTTTTTTTTCTCATTTTTTATATATAATATAAGTATAATGACACTTACATTTTTTAGTATATCGTATAACACTATTTTAACAAGAAGACATAAAGCTTTTGAAATGACTACAAAATTTTAAAATGTCAGACTATTTAGACAAAAAAAATTGTGGGTTGGGGACATAAACATTAACTATTTGATTATACAATTAAATGATTTACATAATTAATTTTTAACTATAATTTTCTGTCAAAATCAAATATTCAAAAAAAAAAAGTTGGGAGGCTATGCATTCAAGAGTCTTTTTAATGATTAGTAACCATAATTTAGTTAAAAAAATAAATTTTTCCTATGAATTAAAGTAATAATACTAAGTGAATGTAAATTACGGGGATGGCTACAATCAATAAAATTAATAACTAAAAATTATTAAATATTCTATGAAAATGTGTGTTGGATCAAACTCATAAGGGTTGAAAATTCTAAGAATTTGACAGTCTAATTTTATGTTTTAATGATTTTTTCTCTTATCCTATATTTAAGCTAAAAAAAAAATGCAAATTCCAATAAGCACCAAACTGCTTTCCAAAGTTTTAAAAAAATTTTAAGGGAACATTACATAAATAAGGTATTTAAGTATCACCATTTCAAAATTAAGGTTTGAGGTTTTAAATTTCCAGAATTAGGTTTTTATTAAAATTTATTTATAATTTAATTAATTAATTATATATTTAATTAATAAATATATAAATCTC